CAATGTCAATAAAAAAAAAATATAAAAAAAAAAAAAGAAAATTATTCATCGAAATTCAGGTTTTTAAAATGGAAATTTTAATAGGCCTGTTTAAAGGTGCAGTGTGGGATTTTTAGTGACATCTAGCGGTTCGGTTGCGAGTTTGCACTAAGGGCTTAGCCCACTGCTCACCCCTCCCTTTCGAAGAAGCTACGGTTGCTAAAACGGGACAAACTTCTCGTCGTCTGAGACAGCAGAGAACAGCCAGAGTAAGACAAGAGTGTGTAACATTGTCATTGTTTCTGTACCACAATCCATTATAAACCACATCATGGATACAGTTTACAAAGCCATAGTCAGGTGAGGATCAAGGGTTTTAATATATAATTTAATATAATAATAGTGATCAGCTGATTGTCTCACAAACGTAACCAGCAGCACATTTCTCCCCACATAGCAAACCCATAATACAGCGAGGGAGAACTAAGTTACATGAAACAATCCCAACTACATATTTTACACTACTCAAGGGAAAAGTCACTACTCACAGAGTTTATGGCTAGTTTCTAGCTTTCTGCTGCTTCTCTTTCAAGGTAGTGATGAAACGCGTTCTGTAGCGCTGTGTGTTCGCGTTCGGCTACGGTAGAAAGATGACGTCACGATATGGCGACCTTCATAGAAGGGGATTCCCGCAGTTATGGAAATATAAATGTCTCATTCTAAGATAATAAAAACATTACGGTTTATTAAGTAAGTTCTTTAATACCCACTGAAAACATAGTTTATGGATGTCATATTGCATTTCTGTTACAGTTTTTTCTCAATTGTTTACACACAAATTCTGGTACTTGAAGACACAATGACCACAACATGTAACTCATTCACCAACCCACTGAACCAATTCTGATGAACTACAAGCACAATTCCTGCTTTACACTCAAATTGCAGCTCTAAAACACACTTTTTTCAAAACACTACACACACATTCTCTGCATTTGGCACAATTTTCATGCAGAAAATCTCTTCTTTTCATGAGGAACACACTACCATTCAAATATTCACACTGACTCGTCACATGGACAAACACACGTCACACAGTTTTACAATTAGCAATCAGAGCTTTAGCATAAAATACCAAAACCGAAGAGAGGATGCAGCATAGATTTTTACTGTAGGGATGGGTATCGTTAAGGTTTTATCGGTATTACTACTCTTACCGATACCGCTTATCGATCCGGTACTTTAACGGTATTCTTATCGGTTCTTTTTGGTGTTTTTTATTTATTTTATTTTTTTAAGAATTAAGAACATAATTAAACTTTATATTTTGAAATGTAAAATATAAAAAGCAAAACGAAGAAAAATATATTTTTGTTATGCAGCAATGTGCAGGCTTTTTTTGTTTATACAAAAAGGACACATAAGAAAAAAAAACAAGTACAAACAAGAATACAATTAATCAAAGGTACAAATTATATACAAAGTGCTTTAATTTCAGGAAGGTCTACTAGCATATCTTGTCAGGTAATTGTTTCTGTCTGAAAAGAAACCTATTAATCAAATATAAAATAGCACTGTAGTTTATCATAGATAGAATAATGCTTATTAAATCTAAAGTTACTCATTCAAAGGCTGTGAGTGATTTTCTCTGCCTTTTGTTGTTTGATTTGCATTAATGGCTGAATCGTCAGCAGGTTTAGGCTATTAGACTGCTGCCCCTTTAAGACCGAGCAGATAATGGGGACTGATGCACCATCATTTTCTCCCTATTATTTACGTCCGTTTAAGACATACTTGTGTTTAAGTAATAAACTGTGTTTAAGTGAATCTCAGAGCTGGTCATTTTGACATTTGTATGTATATTTGATAGTTAAGGACGCACAAAGCCCAAGTATATAGGTTACTTTCTTGTCTCGTTGCAGTCCGTTTCGGAGCGTGCACCGCCTTGTGAACAGCGTCTCTTGCGCAGGTTTTTGTGTTTTTAATAGCTATTTTCTTGATCTTGCAACAGTAGAAGACAGCACTTTGAAACAATCGCCGATCGTGCTGATTCTGACGGTTACGTTTGGGTTTTAGGAAGAACTGACAGCGCTCCGCAGTGCTGTGAAGTAAAAGGAAGTTAAGCTGGACAGATCGTTTCGTTTTTTAACGGTTTTATCTCAAATATCTTCTTTTTATAATCTTTGGAAGCCGAAATACAAAATATATTAGAATAATATCCCAGATCTAAAGTGTAACCACGTTGGATGTTTAGTTCTGTCCTCATTGTCACTCATTAAGCAAGGCTGTCGTGTTGCGCGTGCTGTGGCTTTGCGTGAGAGATCGCTCTCTCTCTCTTCTCTCTCTCTTCTGAACTGCGAATTGCAAATTTGCATCACAGACATAATGGTTAATTAAAATATAGTTTATATATAGAAATGGCTGGTGATATAAACATGTTCGAGATAACGTCTTTATAGGAATAATAAATAGTAGCCCAACTTGCGTGTATTTACTTAATTTCTCCAGTACCGACAGCAGAACCGGTAACGTCCGAGCTTATCGATACAGCGGTCTTTCAAAATTCAGTACCGGGGCCCGTTTAATACCGGGTTTCGGTACCCATCCCTATGTAACAGCATAAACATTTTCTGTTGTCTATTCATATAATGGTTTGTGTGTGTCATTTGAAAATAAAATAACATTTTGAGCAATATATAACATTGTTTTGAATGTAAAGTTTCATTTTGCACTAGAATTGAGGGGTTTTGCCGATTGTGTGAGTGTTTTTAGATTTGTGTGTAGAGTTCTGAGAGTATGAGGCATACTTGCATGAAATGTGTGTAAACAATCGAGAAAAACTGTAATAGATACTCAACTTTTTGACATTGCACCTTTAAATTTCAGAGGTAAATTCGAAACAAATAAATTCAGACGCATGGTTTCCAAAGTAAGATAATTTATAAGGGCTGAATTCCGAGCAAATAAATTCAGACAAATGTTTTTCAAAATAAAATTGAATACAAAACTAGTATTCAAAACTAGTAAAAGTATTCAGTGGCTGTTAAATTTCAAATAGTTATGTCTCTCATTTGCTTCCATACTTTTACATTACTGTATAACAATCGTGGGATAAGAGGCAAAGATAATCATTAGTGTGTGTGTGTGTGTGTGTGTGAGAGAGAGAGAGTGTGTGTGTTAGTGTGAGAGAGTGTGTTAGTGTGTGTGTGTGAGAGAGAGACTGTTTTTGACACTTAAAGCAATTTATTCCATCATTAAAGTTTAAAAAAAAAAAAAAATTCCGTCATAGTGACTATAACAAACAATTCACTCTGTCTCAGTGTATAACAGTTGTTTTACTATCAATGCCAACGGCGAGAGAATTTAGTTTTGCTGTGGACAAATCAAAATTAAGTAAAGGCTCGTGTGTTTTGTGTCTTAATCAATCTTTCCCACACACATATAAATTATAACTCGTACTCATCGCTCTGTCCATTTCAGCAAATGAGGTTTTGTGAAGGCCTCTCCTGTTGCTTTGGTGCTTTTCAACATGCGCTTGCACCCCCTGCTGGTAAAGCCGTCTAACAGCAGATAGAGAGTATGCTCAGTAATCTACTGCTTTTCCTGCAGTTTCCGGATGTCACCGTTGAATTTACTGTCGAATTTGAACCACTGAATTTGTGGAAGCGAATTTTCAAGGCGAAATCAAATGGACCGAAAATTGCCTGTTGAATATTATAGGTTGTATTTTTAAACAGTTTGAAAATTTTGGAAGTGAAATATGAAAGGTGAATATGGATTATTGCATTTTTAATAATGAAAAATGTTTTTAATTGAAATATTCACAGCTTAAATATTCAACCATGTTCAATTTCAGCCCATAAAAATGTAAGCCTTAAAAATACAATGGATTAAAATGCAAGCAGGGTTAACACAATGCTTTTTTTTTAATTGGTGCAATTCAACATGCTTTTTGTTTCAAAAACATTAGACATTATTTTACTTCCATACACTTCCACCTCACATTCAGCCAATCACACGCTCCGAAGGCACACTTCTACCTCAGATATTGTATATCATGCATACAAGAATCAAAAGTTTAAACTAAAACACTCAATATTAATTTATTCACTCAATATATCAGTATATTTTTATACTCAATATCTCACAGAGTCTAATTTCACAATAAATTTCTGCAAACATTTTCACTTTAGTATTTTGTGATCTGATGAAGATGATGTGACTTTATAGAATAAAGAGTCTCTTATTTTCTTCATTCTCTCTCTCTCTCTCTCTCTCTCTGCTAATGTAGGTTAAGCTGGTGTGATATGACAGATGAAGGTTGTTCTGATGTGACTTCAGCTCTGAAATCAAACCCGTCACACCTGAGAGAGCTGGACCTGAGCGGGAATAAACTAGGAGACTCTGGAGTGAAAAACCTCAGTGATCTACTGATGAACCCACAATTCAAGCTGGAGAAACTACAGTTAGTGTCATTATACTGTACAGCAATTACAGTGTGACTGAAGTTTATTTATTTGAAGACAGCAGGGCTTATGTTTCATTGGTTATAGCAGTGCACTTTCTGGGTTTCCCTATACACATTTTTGTGTGCTTTTTTTTCTAGTTAGTTTATACAGTGTATTGTAATTGATTTCACTGCTTTAAAATGGAATCAATATTTTTGAGTGTGAACATTTTTCACCAAAAAAATGTAGTAAATCATATAAAACTTTTTAGAGTGTAGATAGTAATTGTTTAATTCCCAACATCTGATACAATGCACTGATTGTGTACACACAGAAATCTGCATTTTCAACAGAGAATAAAGAAGAGAGACGTCAAATAAATAGTTAGAAATGAAAGAGAAGAAACAGTGTCTTCCAGCGCACAGAACTAGTGTGACTGGGTTTTAAAACAGACTATTGGAAACTAAATGCTGCTGTAGCTCTTCAATAAGATGATCATCATAGATGTGAACTATTGTTATTTCTCTGTCTTCAGTCTGAGTGATTGCAGTATTACAGAGAAACAGAGTCTCATCCTGACTTCACCTCTGAAATCAAACCTGTCACACCTGAGAGAGCTGGACCTGAGCGTGAATAAACTAGGAAACACAGGAGTGAAGCACTTATGTGCCGTACTGAAGGATTCACACTGTAAACTGGAGAGATTGAGGTCAGTCACATTCACATACAAGAATCAAAATGCTTAAAATCACTTCAACTGTAACAAGAACACATTAACATTATATTTGAACAAACATTTTCACTTTAGTATTTTGTGATCTGATGAAATGAAGGTGAAGATCTCTCTTCCTCTGTTTTATTTGCTGATGAAGATGATGTGACTTTACAGAATAAAGAGTCTCTTATTTTCTTCATTTTCTCTCTCTCTCTCTCTCTCTCTCTCTCTCTGCTAATGTAGGTTAAGCTGGTGTTATATGACAGATGAAGGTTGTTCTGATGTGACTTCAGCTCTGAAATCAAACCCGTCACACCTGAGAGAGCTGGACCTGAGTGAGAATAATCTGGGAGACTCTGGAGTGAAAAACCTCAGTGATCTACTGATGAACCCACAATTCAAGCTGGAGAAACTACAGTTAGTGTCATTATACTGTACAGCAATTACAGTGTGACTGAAGTTTATTTATTTGAAGACAGCAGGGCTTATGTTTCATTGGTTATAGCAGTGCACTTTCTGGGTTTATTAAACTAAAACACTTTATTCTCAATATCTGACAGTGAGTCTGAGTTCACATTATATCTGTGTAAAATTCTTCACATTTGTGATTTGTTTGTAAGATAATCTCTCTTCCTCTGTTTGTGTCTCTCTAGTCTACGGTACTGTGACATTACAGATGTTTCTTCTTTAACTCAGTCTTTGACGAACTCAAAAGCTCTGCAGTTTTTAAAAGAGCTTGATCTGAGAGACAATGAGATCGGAGACTCAAAGCAGCGGCTCAGAGACGAGCTACGAGACTCAAACTGTGTCCTGAGGTGAGGAAACATCACTGAGATATTAAAGACATCTTCATTTACCTCTGATATGTGAACAATCCTTTCAAATATTCGTAAAAGGAAATTATCATTAAGATTTATTGCAACAAAGAGTTTGTGTGAGAACAAAATGTGAAGTTATTGAAATGTTGAACACAAAGGAGGAAAGAGAAGAAAAGCTCACTGTCACAGCTTTATACATCAACACCTGCTTTATGAACTGTGTCAGTAGAAGTGAATCATTTGAGTGTGAAACAGACTTGGTCAGATTGTAGGAAACGCTGCACTCCTGCTAAAATCAGTGCAGTTCCAGCTTCAGCTCACAGCGTCCAGCTCACATGAGCAATGTCTCTGTCTCTAGTGTGTTTTTACTGTGACAAGCAACACGTCACACTACTCGACACTTACTTTACTCTCAGTTATTTACTAAGAGCCTACAAACATGTTTAAACTAGAGGACAAACGGCTTTAACTAAAGGCTTGTGTTTAACTCAAAATAACATTAGTATTTGCTCGCTGTGGTTTATTCCATACGCCGTACACTCATTAGTTTCTCCTTTACAGAGACTCAATAGGAGTCGCAAAGACACACACAGACACACATATGAACATGATTCAGATTTAAATCTATTATATTTAAAAACACAAATATCTCTGCAAGATCATAGCCTGGCTAACGCTGAGACTTGGGTCTGGGAACCATATGCTCATTTTCCCGTATTTGAGGTGTGGTTTACGAATGCCTGGCGCCGTTTATTGGGTGCTAAGAATGTCTATATCAAATGCGCCTGTACGTAGCTCATAGCCAATCGTTTCAATTAGAAAAACACAAGTATTAAGTACAGTTTAACATAGATGTTGAAGTTGTTATTTGCATTGGAAATTGTTTGTGCTCGTACTTCACAAGTTTAAAAAAATTTAAATGTTCATTTAATGACTAAAGTGTCAACAACTTTAATCGAGTATGTGTGCACAGCTGAAAGTTATGCTACTAAAGCGGTAGCTGTATATTGATATTGAAAAGCCACACAACTTTGGCACTGTGACAACCACAGTAGGTAGTCTACAGGCATAATGACAATATGATATATCGAAGACGATGCCTACTAGCAGGTTGGTACTATACAACTCTGTGGCTAACATGTCTTGCCACTTTGCGCTCATCCAGGCCTCGGGACTGCCGAACAGAAGTTGGTATCGACAATTCTTCATCGCAGTTTCTTTCTCGGGACACAGCTGAGCGGCAGATATTCCAGGTTGATCGCCTCCTGTACTGGTCCTCCATTAGGGCGATTAATGGCGAGACAACAATAACGCCAAAAGCTGCTCTTTTTTCTAAATAAACTTGCATTCTAAACTGCTTAAAACAATATCTAAGGCTGCATCAAAAGGTAGCTTCGCGTCTGCTGCCATGTTGAATCCATAGATATAAACAAACTGCGTCGGTGTGTCACATGTTGTCATCGTCTTGCGGCTCCCTCCCCGTTCTGTGATTGGTTCCCTAAATGAGGCGAAAATCTGGCCATGGTATCCAGACTGCCTTTCAGCTTGAATAAAATCACTCTGCAGGAAGGCAGTATGGGGAAACCCAGACTAGCAAGATCATGTAAAGTCAAGAATTAACCTGATTACAACAGTGGTACCCAACCTTTTCTTGTCTGAGACCCCTTTTTCCCAAGAAATATTTTAGGGCCTTACAAGAGCTTAATATTTGATATTATCATCAAATATTAAGCTCTTGTAAGCTTGCAGCAAGGATGACAAAATATGTGGTTTTCAAACAAACATTATGTTTACCATAACCATATATGTTTATGCACAAATAATACCCTATAATATTGAAAATACAATAACAAAAACATCGGTAGGTCCTTTGTAATTTAAAAATGTAAGCCTAGGAGAAGACTATATATTGGCCCTATTTGAAATGCAAAAACAAACATATTCACAGTGGTGTGTTGGTAAAAATGAAAGAATGTAACCTATTACTAAATGACTGCTCTCTGGGGCCTCAATACTTGTAAGTTATTTGTGAGGCTTTATTTTTTACGCTTTTGGCGCAATAGCGAGTGATAATAAATGTTTATTAACAGAATAATGCATCTTTCGGAAGAACGATGTAGACGGATCTACTTCTCTCTGTGTACGTCTATGACGAATCACGCAGGTACTGGGCTACTCCGCAGCGGCAGCGACCCGAACCAGTGTAAAATAGTCCCAATGTAAACGCCTATTATAGGTGGACCATAGTGGTTCAGGATAAGACAAACACGGATTGATGGATTCATGATGAACTCGCTCATTATATACATTTTGAACAGAAGACAGTTATGGACTTTTATTTAATGCTCATTGATCCAAACTTTTCAAAATATGGCGATGGATTACAGGAATTCAATTTAACATTTTTACCCCAAAAACAGTAATTGAAATATAATATTTTGTACTTTGTTCCACTGAACACTGATTGTTTTCTCTTCTGTTCCACTTTACAGAGCAGATGATGATCTATTTACCAAGATTAGAAGACTTTTTACATAGTTTAAATCTGTGAAACGGAGATGAGAGGAGCAGAAATCATCAGGTGATCCACAGAAGAGTCTCACTGCTGTCTATGAGGAGAAATACATGTGTAAATGTGTTTCATACAGGTGGAAGAGACTCAGACTTCACTATTAAATAAAGCAGTGTGTGTGTTAGCATGTGTATTAGAAACATGTGATTAATGTTGGTTTATTATTCAGCCAAATGACTCCTGCCACAGTATCTTATGCCACAAATTAAATCATTCTCACTTTCTCATGAAGAGATAAACATGAAAATAGATCTCCTGACCTCAGAACAGTGGGAGGCGGCGAGAAAAGGGAATCATTTTGGGATATCGTGGTTATAAACTTCTCAAATATAAAATTAGAGGTGTCTGCTCAGGTTATGGCAAGACATTGGCCCACACAAAGAAAAGTGTAACACACACACTAATCAACAATATTAACAAACTTGCTAAAAAAAGAGCATTTGAGCCAAGAAGATAATAATGCCTTATTAGACTTACAAATCCAACTAGACATTTATATGAGAACAAAGCAAAAGGAGCTTTTATAACGTCACGGAGGAATTGGATGGAACAGGGTGAGAAAAACAGCAGATATTTCTTTAACATGGAAAAAAGAAGAAATGAAATCATTTACACACTTTAATTGATGAATGCCGTTCTGGTTTAATGAAAGATCGTCACATAGCCAATAACATTCGCAGTTTTGGATCTGATTGAAGACAAAGACTTTCTAGATGAACAACACCTTATTTTATTCTTAGACTTTCAAAAAGCCTTTGACACGGTAAGCCACAAGTTTATTATTGACACTTTAAACTGTTTTAGTTTTGGTAAGAATTGTATTAATGCTGTATAAACTCTGTACATGTGAGGAAACAGTTGTGTTAGATTGGCTAATGGAAGCTCATCTAGATTTCACACACACAAAGGTCTCCGCCAAGACTGCCCCACCTCGCCTCTTCTATTGGGGATTGAAGCTCAAACTCTGTCATTTAATTCACAAGAGTTCATTCAAAGGAATGTAGCAAATGCAACATTTAATAATATACATAAAATGTATTTAAGGGGGCCGAAGGCCAATTTAGCTCAAAGGGAAATGATTCATTGATTTGCAATGAATCTATGGAACCGAATCACTGAACCGAGCAAATGACTCGCTTAGAGTTCATTTGAACGGGCCGTAATTATAACCAAATCTATAGTGAAACACTATGTCTTAGCAAGGTAACTTTAAATCGAACAGTACAAGACATTAAATGTGCAAACACGACACAAGAAGATTTAACTTTTCAAATATATGGAAACCTTTATTAGCTATTCTAAACACAACTCTAAGGTCTAAACATAACTAAACATAATCACGCACACACACATTCATACAGTCGCGAAAGGGAAAGAGTGAGTTGGAAAGAGTGAGAGAAAGTTTCAACTTTCTATATGCACGTAAGACATCACCTGAAAGGACCACCAAGCATTAATTTGAACCTTCATTTCTTAGAGAGGTTATTCAATTAACATTAAAGCACCAGTTCAGTTAGAGCCTGGAGTACTTGCGCTTTGTAGTGGCTGAGGGAATTCCCTTTGTCTGCGTCGCGTCGAAGGGGGGTTCCCCGGGTCCTCGTGGCGGGTTGTCTTTGAAGTGCAGGGATGGAAGTTTCGCCGCTGGTCACGTGTGATTAGCAAGCGAATGAGAGTCTTTTCCAGTTCGAAGCGCGTTGCAAAGTTAACTTTGAAACGAAACTTTTACGAAAAAGGAAATAAAGGAAAGAAATGAAAGTAAGACGAGTCGGATGGCTTGACTGAGCTGAATTGTAACCCTGATCTTGATGGGGCCATCCTTAAAAATATTTTAGTTTGCAGTAACAGCAATTTTTTTTAAAAAAAAGGGTCGGTAGGTAGGTCTATATTTTTTTTTTTTCCAGGATTCAGTGTAAAAAAAAAGTAAAATTTTGGTCATGGTGATCATGAATTTTTTTTTTATTTTTATTTTTAATTGCATACTGTGACGTCACTGACTGGGTCTTCAAACTGTGCATCCACCACTAGGTGTTATTGCAACCTACAACCGGTTACGTTTTTAGGCCAGTCACAAAATGAATAAATATCTACTGTATTTGTTATGCAGCAGTGTGCAGGCTTTTTTTTCCCCAAATACATGAGATATAAGCAAAAACAAGTACAAACACATGGTGAAACAAAGAATACAATTAAACAAAGATACAAATTAGCCTATATACACAGTGCTTTAATTTCAGAAAGGTCTAAAATTAGCTACTTTTCAGTTAAGTGTGTTGCGCTGTCTGAAAAGAAATTTAATTTAGTAAATCAAATGTAAAATGACACTGCATGGTTTATCATAGTTAGATTAATGCTTATTAAAGTTTAAGTTAATAATTCAAGAGCTGCGAGTGATTTTTCTCTGCCTTTTGTTGTGTTTGATTCCCATTACTGACTCAATCGTCACATGTTTATTAGACTACTGCCCCTTTAAGACCGAGTGCGGATCTAACAGATGACTGATTCACTACCATATCCTCCCAACTATTCACATCCATTTAAGACATAAACTGTGTTTAAATGAATCTCAGAGCAGGTCATTTTAGATTTTATGTATATTTGATAGTTTAGCTGCGCACATGAAGCCTAAAATGAGGCTATAGCCTACTTTTCTTGTCCCGTTGCAGTGCATTTCGGAGCACGCATCACCTTGTGAACAGCGTCTCTTGCGCAGACTTTTGTGCTTTTAATAGCTCTTTTAATGATTGAACCCGTACGCAGTTTAGCAACAGTACAGACTGCATTTTACAACAATTACCGATCGTGCTGATTCTGACGGTACGTTTGGGTTTTAGGAAGAAATGACAGCGCAACGCTGTGAAGGGAAGGAATTTGCGCTATAGACAGAATGCGTCTGTAATGGTTTCATCTCAAATATCTTTTTATAATCTTTGAAAGCGGAAATCTAAAATACAATTAGAATAATATCCCAGATCTAAAGTGTAGGTAAGCACGTTCTGTCCTCATTGTCACTCATTAAGCAGGGCTGTCGTGTTGTTCGCGCTGTGGCTCCGGGTGAGAGATCGCTCTCTCTCTTCTGGACTGGGAATAGCAAAATTGCATCAGACAAATTGTTTAATATTATTATTATATATAGAAATGGTTGATATTCAGCCCATTTAATACCGGGTTTACCAAGCGGGAACACTGAATGAAACGAAGCGAACGTATAAGCCTTATAGACAGTGTGACACGGGTAAACCAATCGTGTAGCTGCTAAACATAATCAGATGACTATGACGCCACGGGTTTTTATTTAAAAGAAAGAACGTAGCCTACGTTTGTAGACATAAGCAACTTTCACAATACTAACTAAAATATCATTTTATGGAATTTGAATTAGTCGTTTGAAGAGTAAAAAAAAAAAAAAAAAAATCGGTCGGTCTGAACGCAATTACAACCGGCAAGTCGGTCGGACTAAAAGGAAAAAAAAATTAAAAAATTGGGTCGGCCCTAAATTGACAGGGTCGGTCGGGTTACGGCAAACAAGAATATTTTTAAGGGTGGCCTGGGTTATTCGTCTGCGGGTCGAATTTGGTCTAGTCGATGTAGAAGCATGCGAACACGTTCTTTGTTTCAGAGATAAGCACGAATTAACAGAACACTCTCTTGCTGGTTTTAGAGAGAGGCACGGACTTAACAGTTACAGAACTGAACGAAAATCTAAAATCATCTAGCAAAATCAGCACATGAGGTCCTTTGTTAGGATCTTTAACTTAAACTCTAGTCCAGCCTCCTAGGAACTTCTGGCCAATTGGAGGCAGATCTATTTCTTGCTTATCATAATTTATGCATGGTCTGTGAGCTGGTCTCCAGCACTTAGCAGAGACAAAAGACCATGGTTTAAACCTGATGATTATTATAATCATAAAACAAAACCTTTTACGCAGATTTCAATCAAGCCATCTTTTGAATTACGAGGATACGGTTCGTTTAAGAGTAAACGAGGTATTCACACTTCTAATGGTTGTATAACAATTACAAGAGTTAATAGTTAACAACAATTACATGATTATTATGTGATCTAAGCATAATAACACATGAAGTGTAGGAACAACAAGAATTATGATTGGTTATAGGTCCAAGAATTGGTCTGTGGTGAGTTTATATGATTTTATGTGTGAGATCTCCGATCTCAACAGTGAGGTTACTGCGAGTTCAACTCGTAAGGGGGACGAGGAGATGTGTTCTGTGGAACATCTCTGTCAGGGGATCAAAGGGGTCTTGGTTGTGAGCCTCTCGTTCCACCATTTTGGAGCTGACCTGTCTCAGTAAAAACATTAACATATTGACACGTTTCTTCCTGTGGCATTCTGTTGCTATCTGCAGGACCATAAAAGTCTTCGGAGGGGGGGGTTTATTGTCCCCCAAAACAAACTCTTGGCGCCGTTCTGTGACTCTGGAATGTGGGCTCCAGAACTTGGAGTGTTGAAGCCATGTGAATTAATCCCATGAGAGATTAATTTGATTAAGTTGTGTTTGATTCGCCTTAATTCTCTACAGGAATTACATTAAATGAAAGAGAAATACAAATCTGACCGCTAGAAAACTGCTTTAAACATGATATTCTACTGGTATCATTATTAAATAACTCAAATCAAATTTGAACTTATGATGAAGTTAATGTCCATCCTGCAAGAAAAGAGTTTGATATTGTATCCAGAGCTAAACCCCATGGGATCATACAAAACTTATAGATTTTGTACTGACTATCGTAAGTTGAACGCCATTACTAAGCCTGATGTTTTTCCACTTCCTCGAATGGAGGATTGTGTAGATCAGGTGGATACAGCTAATTTTGTGAGCAAGTTAGATCTTCTTAAGGGGTATTGGCAAGTGCCGTTAACTCCTAGAGCTAGGGAGGTAACCTCTTTTATTACATCATCTGGATTATACTCGTACTCCGTTATGAGTTTCGGCTTACGAAATGCACCTGCCACCTTCCAGAGGTTGATGAACCGAGTGGTTGCTGGGTTGGAAGGGTGTGCGGTGTATTTAGATGATGTTATTGTGTTCAGTGAGACTTGGGAGGAACATTTGGTCCGTTTGCGAGCTCTGTTAACTCGGTTGATTGAGGCATGTCTAACAGTTAACTTGGCTAAGTGTGAGTTTGCCAAGGCGACTGTAAGATATTTGGGGAAAGAGGTAGGCCAAGGTAAGGTGCGTCCACTTCAGGCCAAAGTTCTTGCCATTCAGCAGTTTCCTTCTCCGTCTACCAAGAAAGAACTCATGCGTTATTTGGGGATGGTCGGTTATTACAGGGGTTTCTGTCCAAACTTTTCAACCGTGGTTTCTCCGCTGACTGACTTGCTTAAAAACTCAGTAAAGTTTGACTGGAGTGAAAATTGCCAGAGAGCTTTTGAAAACATTAAATTGTTATTGACTTCTGCTCCTGTTCTAGCTGCCCCAAGGCTGGATATGCCATTTAAGTTACAGGTGGATGCCAGCCAGGTTGGTGCTGGAGCTGTCTTATTACAGACCGGTGAGGATGGGTTGGACTATCCCGTGAGTTTCTTTTCTCGAAAGTTTAACACCTATCAG